ACACACACACACACACACACACACACACACACACACACACACACACATATATATATATATATATATATATATATATATATATATATATACCTGGAGTTATAATTGGAGTTTTTCATTCAACACAATTCTCTGGAGATTCATTCAGGTTGTTATATATATCAAGATTTGCTGCCCAGTGAGAAGTCTCTGGTAGAAGCTATCATAAATTGTTTTAATTAAATATCTACTGATGGACACCCATTTGTTTTCTTCAGTTTGTGCATGCATGAATAAAGGGCTATGAACAACTATAGAGCAAATCTCTGGATATTTGAAATGACTGATGGACAGAATTCATCCTTGCTACTGCTATGACCACAAGTGGTCTCCATTGACATTGGAGTATCTAATTATTGTCGAGAAAGAGTGTAAATTTTGATTCTTTTTTACATTGTGTTTGGTGGGAGAAAGGGGGCATTGCTGAGTAGTTTTATAGGGAGGAAATCAAGCTTTAATCATTAATAAACTCAATGGTCTCTGTGCAAAATTTTTTTCAAAGAACTAATAAGCAAACAAATAGGCCTCAGAGAAAGAGGATGCAGGCAATCCTAATGAGATCTGAGGGGCTGGGGTCAGATGATAGGAGAGGAGGGCTCCCCATTTCTGAGGAATAGGGAAGGGTCTAGTGGGGAAAAGGAATGGAGGGTAGAACTGGGTGAAGATGAGGGAGGTGGTTACAATCGGATGTAAAGTGAATAAATAATCAAAATAAACAAACACTGATTATAATTTGTCCTTCATAAATTTACCCAAATATTTAAAAGAAACCCCACTTATCTAACAATATAAAGCAGCTATTTTTATTTATTTACTCATTGTTTGGTTGCTTGGCATTGAATCAAAAGTATTTTACATCCTAAGCAAACTACCTCTGGGACCAAGCAAAATTACAAAATAAAATTTTCATACCATTTGCTGATGCCATAATAATCTTTAATAATATTCTGAAGAACAGCACGATAGAAGAGTGATTCGGTAGGCAGCTGAAAAAAAAATAAACAGATGTATGTGTAAAAATAATAAAGGAAATCCAGAAACAGAATTATTATTAGAGACTTGGGGTCCAGTAAATGTATACGCCTGATTTTGTTAAATAGAGAGGAAGACTTTACAGTGTCCTACTGAAATTCCAAATATGCTGGTAAATCTACTCTTGTTTCAAATACTGTTAGTTACAAACTGCTTTCAAAGTTATCCAGTTTTTACTGGCATAACTACAAAGTAAATGACAATGTTTATATTAAACTCCTGAAGTAGTTAAAATTTCTTATGCTTTTGAAAAATTGCATAAAATTATATTAATATATTATAAAAGATACTTTGTAAGCACCTGTAAACTTTAGAAAAATAAAAAGTAGAATGAGAAAGTAACGATAGACTATATGAGACACATTTGCATTTTAAACATGATACTATACATAAATAAAATGGACAGAGAAAAACAAACAGGACAAAATAGATTATCATTTCCAAGTTACCCCAAGCAAACAATAGCTTTCCAGTTGTTTCCTAAAAGAAAGAAAGTATAAGTCACTTTATAGTGCTCATTCTTGGAATAACTATGTTGGTCTGTCCTAGTGAGTACAGATATGGATGGGGCTCGGGGGAAGACAGTCAATATTTTTCAAGCAGTCTGTGCCTGGCTGTTCTAGGAATAAACTGGATGTGGCTTAGAATTGACTTTTATTCCTTCACAAGTAATATATCCAGCGAACACTTTTAGTGCATTGTAAATTCTGGAAAAAAATAGAGAAAGAGATTGTGTACCCTCTGACTAAATATACTATGCATCCAATGCACAGGACTAGGGCAAAGGGTACAAGCTACAAGTGAGGGTTCTGCAACTAATTAAGGAAACTACACTATACCATTAAACTCCTCCTGTGCATCATGTTCTGATGTAAGGCTAAAATAGTAGCCAATTCCTAAGATTGAATGGAAGCATAAGCAAAACCTTAAAAAAATATAAAAACAATCATACCAGTGGAGACTAATATGATAGAGGCCCCTCACTATTTCACAGCCCTAGGGAAACCACTAAGAAGCTTGTACTGTAGAAGTTAAAAATCTAGCTGGAGATTGAATTCCTAGAGTTTGTTATCTTATAGTTGCCTCCTGTATATTGGTACATAATGATGATACATAACTATTGATTATTATTAATATTTAATATTGATTTATCTTTTAGTTAAACAGCAGTTATTCCTAAACCAGCTGTATACCCAAATCACCACAAAGAAACTAGGATTTATTTAATTAACCTATAGCACAATGCTGGGCAATAATTACTTCATCCTAAACTTCCAAGCCTGTGTAGCTTCCTTCCTTTTAGATCTCCCATATAATACCTACTTTTAGTCATATCTTAGGTCCATTTCATTTCTCCTGATGTTTCACAGTCATCTCCTCTAGTATCTCTCCTCCCACTCACCTCTTCTTCCTTCCTTCCAGACCAGGATGTCCTACTCTATTCCCTCCACTGCTCAGCATTAGCTAGCTGTTTTTATTAGCAATACAGAGAACAAATAGTGGCATGTTTACACAAATTTGAGACAGGTGATGGTTAGAATAAGCATCACAATGCAATATCTGGATTGAAACCTGATAAAGGGTTAGAGAAATCAGCATTTGAGTGAACAAGGGTAAATTGTATACACTCCACAAGAAAATTACACCAACACGTAACTCACAGTCCTACGTATTTATCAGCAAAACTGACAAGAAGTTTGAACACTACATTGGAATACTCTATATATTAGACTTGATATTTATTTTCAAGATAATTATCTTCCATAATGGTGATGATGGTTGACATTTACTGAGTACTTACTATACATTTTAAAAACTTTTCCTGTTTCTATTAACTTCATTCACCATGAGACAGCTTAGACAGGCAAAATGAATAATCCTAAAAAAAACTGCAACTGCCACCATCACCTAATTGACCAAGAGTAAATTGTAATGTTATTGCTATTATTATTTTAAAAATAGAATTAACATTAATGTTCCTTGAAAAGAAAACAATACTTTTTAAAAATTTATGTTCAATATAATAATTTTATAAACATTTTAAAATACGATCTTTAAAATTCCTGTTTCATGAATACACAGTAGAAGATAATACATTGTATGGATATCTGGGGGCATAACAAACTTTTGTTTATACCTGCCAATCTGGCTAGCTATTTCAACTAATGACTAATTAAGTTGAAAAAAGTTATCAAATAGCCAAATGAAACATTTCAAATTACACTTAAATAATACATTTAATGTTACTTATTTTCTTTCCTTGAACAAACTCCATAAAAGCCTAATGTCACCTGCAATGTTCGTTAGAAATATTTACAGATTGTTAATACAATATGAAGAAATGAGAGGTTTAGTATAAGAGCATAGTGTGGAAACTTTCCTCAAACCTTAATGTATCATGCTGAAAGTTCACTTTACACACAGAGGATGTATACACTTGAATGTGCAGTGGTGACAAGATGAAGTGATATCTATTAAAATCGACCAGGTTTCAAGTTCAACAGCAGGTCAAATTTGAAGAGGACTTGAGAGAAAAGCTATCTTGTTCATTAGCTACATTAAACACTCTCACTTACCCCTTGGCCAACTGCAACCCGTTCCAATGCCTTAAAGAAGAAAGAAACAAGACAGAGATTGTTGACATATTTAGTCTTATGGGATTTATAAATATACTCTCAAGGATTTGCAATAGTGACAATCAAAAAGATTAATTAAGTGATAGCATGTATGTTTATATAGTTAAAAGTATTAATATTACTAAAAATGTTACCTCATATGCTTGTATAAATTAGGACTAATTTATAATGAAAAGTGTTATATATACAAACACATTCATATTCTAATTATACACTGTGAATTGTAAAAGGAATCAGCAGGAAAAAAGGCAGATTCTGACTTATGTTTAGTGTGGCTAAATAATAAAATCCAAAGCTGCTCTTATATATGATACTGGCACAGACGTAGTTATAAACTTCTTTTTGATATCTTATAGTTTATGGAACATGTAAGTTCATCTTTTTAGTTTTCCTCCAGTACTGAGAATTAAACCAGGTTCCTGCTCTTAAATGCAGGTGTTCTACCAGTAAGCTACCCAACCCCATCTGTTAATTTCATCTTTTGGCAAGTAAACATGAACAGATTGTAGGTGGAAGAGTATTTCAGGGGAAAATCTGTATGTCGTATGAATTTAGAGCACAGTGTCAAATGACCTAGCATTAGAAGAAAAAGAACTTGTTAAAGTGTAAACTGGTCCCACATGTTTTGATGCTTTTTTTGGTGCTGCTGCTATTTGAGGGGTAGAGGGGCTGTAGAACACTTTAGAGACAGTTTAGGTGGTAGAAATCAGTTATTAGTGGTGGACCTTTGAAAGTTATACCCACTCTCTGGTTGGGTCATGATGGCTCTGCTTAAAGATGTGCAGTGCTGTGAACACTGTCCTCAGTGCCATGAACTGGGCTGCCACACTCTGCCTTCCCTGCCACAATGAAATGAAACCCCTGAAACTGTGAGCCAAAGCAAGCTTTCTTACATTGTTATTGTCACAGTGACACAAAATAGAGCACCGTAACACACTTTTACAATTTTATGTTATTAATTTTACATTTATACTTAAGAACTCAGACATTTTATAAAATATTTATTAACACTTTTACTAATCATATTGAACATATAATGTTTACCAAAATATTTATATGTAAAATAGCCCTTACAACTTTTCATTTCTTAGACATACATTTCTACATTTATTGGATGTTAAGAATTTAACTAAAATTGTTTTTAAATTTTAATTAGAAACATTCCAAATATAAGGTAGATAGAGTAAAATTGATTTGCACAAGCTTGCTACTCAGATTTTAAATATCTGTGTTTTGCTTCAGGTTTCCACGTTTCCATAAATAGTCTTTTAGATATAGCTGATACAAACACATTTTGAATTGAAACGTACTGTACAGACTATCTTGTTTAAGTGCAATTCTTACACATGTAATAGATCATTGGCATGATCATGATCAGTAGCTTACCTGAAACTGTGTGGCTGGTTAGCAACTGATCATAAGCTACACCTTGCTCTTTGACCCTTCATTTATATCTCTTTTCCTCATGCTACACAGATAACGGTGAGTGTGTGGGGGGGAATGCTAACTATATGAAAATGTGCTTCCATGTATATTACAGAATAAATGTATTACAAATTAACTCCCCTAAAAAGTCTATTTCAATTTCTTGCCTTTAAGGTATAAGCCTGGCAAGTAGTGTTCCATGCTCATTACAATCTAAGAATGACTGTTTTCTAACAATATTCTGAGTGTGTTTCATTTACACATAAAATGAAGGAAAAAGAGAAATTTCCAGGGAAGTAATGTCCTATATAAGACAGTGATTATTTGAGAATAAATAGATTTCTAAGCTATTCATTGTATACAAAACCTCTGCTGTTACTTATATGCACATAACAGTAGAACAGTAATGTAGAAACAATGGGCTTTGAAAAAATTCATTCATCTAATGGTTGGACATTAAGCAAATTCTTCAGTCAACTATATTTTATTCTTAAAAAAGTTTCTCTATGTGTAAGTAAACCTACATGTTGTGATGTCCAAGTATAACAATGAAATGATTAAGAGAAGTAAACATTCACATTTCCATTATCATTTTTAATTTGCAAACATGTAAGAGTACTATGTTCAGAATACTTAACAATGTAATACTATAATATTACAGTCATGCTTCTATAATTTAGTTTTCTAGAGTCATTTTTCTAAACTAACTGCAATATTTAAGCTCTGTGATAATAAATATTCACCTGTAGTAATTAGCTTGCCCTTTTGTAAACTCACATGGTAACATGGACAAAGAATGTCAAGGGCTAAAGTGAGTGATCTATATTTAGGGACACTAGTCAAACCACACAAATAAAGTTTTTACTAGTTATTTCTAACACATTTTAATATCTTCCTATTCCATAAAAAATTAGAAGATAAATTGATGTTTACAAGTATACAGACACTACCAAGCTAAATATAAAGTACTGAACTAATTCTGTGTTTAATTCTGGTAGTTGATGCCTTTCATTTCATAAACAAAACAGCCACATGTAAACTTTTCTATGATGCTGTACATAAAATGGATGGTTGAATACCTTTATCATTATGTTTTTCACAAATCGTAATGTTCAAAAACATTAATGGTTGTTAAACAATCTTTGCCCAAAATAATTAATTGCATAATATCTGGATAAAGTGCTCCTGTTTTCTAGGAAACACAACCCATACCAAACATGCTGACATTCTTGCATTACGGCCACAGCACCATCTCTCCTCTTTCAGATAGCGGCACATTGGAAATCCCGAGTTTTCTTGAGCACATTCTACAGACGGGAAAAATAAAAATTATTTAAATAAAATTCTTCCTCTTCCAGTTACAATAAATAATGTATTGAGAGAACATATAAGTCATTGAGGCAGTCAGACAGTGATGAAAATGAAGTGGTGACAAGATGTTTAACAGTGCATTCCAGGTTTGTCAACGGACAGCTTGTTAATGTTATCAAATATATTTGCTCAACAACAGCTACCTCGTGTTTAAGCTGCAGATCTGATATGAACCAATTTGCCAAAAACTATTTATGTAAGACTTAGTGAAAGCAACTTAAAACTCAACAGTTATCCTGTTTAGTGTAACCATAGGAGACAATTAATGACATAGTAGACATTTATTGCTGTCCCAATTTTCTAAGAGGAAAAAAAAGTACAACAGCTGGCAATTTATTAAAGAAAGTATGAATTCATTCCTAACAACACTGAAGCACCATCTTTCCTGTCACTGTGATCCCTTTTTGGAATGGAACAGCTGTATGGGCTCTTAGATTTTCATTGTTTTAAGATGTTGTAATGTTTTTAGACTGCACTGCCATTTGGCTTAACTGTACCTATGGTTCAAATAATGACAACAAAAATCAACATTTCTACTGCCAACTAATTCAGACTACACAACTTGCTAAAGCGCAAACACCTTACATGGAAATATTAAATCCATTATGCTTTGGGAAGAAAAAGAAGACATTTATGTTTTAAATTGAGTTTCAGATATTAATGTTATTAAAACTGTGACAAATAATTAGAATTTGAAATAAACATACATTGTTGTTATATCAAGAAAAGCCTACAAACTTAAAAAAATACTTTAAAGAAAATGCAAATGAGGTATATTCTATAAGAAATGTCTGTACTATAAAGGAGTGGGTGACTTTTGAAAAGAGATAAAGCTTAAATTTTACGCAGATGATTAATCATTGAAGTATTAAATTAAAATTCAAAATATACCCTATCAAAAGCCAGACTCAAAGCCTGACTCAACTTCTACCTTCAGAATTGAAGCACACATATAATTGTAGTACCAATATGATATTCAATACTGTGAAATACTACTGTAAGTGCCTTACATATACTAACTTGCTTTAGCCTGTGTAGGAGTTCTGTGAACTAGGGATACCATTATTCCTGTGCTTCAGATAGGGAAATTGGGCATAGCCAAATTAAGAAATCGTATTGATTTGCACATTCTTCATGGTGTAACTCCACAGTTCATGTGTTTAGTTATCAAGCTATATCAACACACATTCACAATCCATCTCACTTGCAATTGCATAAGTCAGGTAGCCCTAATATTCTACCCAGGCGGCAGTGTTCACTAACTACTTCTATTTTCAAGATTACCTGAAAGAAAGGTTTGAGTCTTGCTGAAGGTCTTATGACTTAACTGAGACATAGTTCTTGGTTAATGAAAGAATAACCCATAGCCAGATATTACTGCAAAGAGTGAAGCACTGGAAAGCAGGTGTGTACTTTTATTTACTGTGGTCAGAACAAAGCACCCACTAATATAAGCTAATTCCATCCTCCCTGTTCTTTGTACAGAGAGGGTTTATTACTATGGAGAGTCAACTGAAATTTCCAGTCTCCCTCAGAGTTACTACTATATGAAGTGCCTTTGGCCAGATGAATGGGTGCAGAAGCAATGGACGCACACTCTTATTCTAAATGTGGTAGACACACTCTACCTCTCTCCATTATTTGTTTAGCTGAATGTGAATACTGTGGTAGCCTAACTAAAATGATGGAAACAAGAGGGACAGAGCATGAAACAATGGGGACAGAAGAGTCCCATTGAAGCTGTTTGCACTGGACAACTCTCATACCAACTCTAGTTGTCACCTTTGGCCTGAAACAGAAATATCCCCGTGTCTTGTTTTTTTTTTGTTATTTTATTAATTTTTATTTTTTATATTAATTAGTTTATTTACTTTGTATCCCAGCTGTGGCCCCCTCCCTTATTCCCTCCCAATCTCACCCTTCCTCCCTGATCTCCCATGCCCCACTCCATGTCCACTGAGAGGGGAGGTCCTCCTCCCCTTCCATCTGACCCTAGTTTATCAGGTCCCATCAGGACTGGCTGCATTATCTTCCTCTGTGGCATGGCAAGGCTGCTCCCCTCTCAGGAGGAGATGATCAGAGATCCAGCCACTGAGTTCATGTCAGAGGCAGCCCCTGTTCCCCTTACTAGGGTAGCCACTTGGAGACTGAGCTGCCATAGGCTACAACTGAGCAAGGGTTCTAGGATATATCCATGAATGGTCCTTGGTTGCAGTATCAGTCTCAGAAAAGACTCCTTTGCCCAGATTTTTTACTTACTTACTTACTTACTTACTTACTTACTTACTTATTTATTTATTTATTTATTTATTTATTTATTTATTTATTTATTTATTTATTTATTTATTTTGGTTCTGTTGGTCTCCTTGTGTAGCTCCTGTCCCCTCCAGGTCTTGCTATCTCTCCCTTCTTTCGTAAGATTCCCTATACTCAAAGTTTGGTTATGAGTCTCAGCATCTGCTTTGATACACTGCTGAGTAGAGTCTTTCAGAGGCCCTCTGTGGTAGGTTCCTGTCCTGTTCCCTGTTTTCTCCCTCTTCCAATGTCCATCCAGTTTGTCTTTCTGAGGGAGGATTGATCATTTTACCCAGGGTCCTCTTTCTTGCTTAGCTTCTTTACATGTACAGATTTTAGTATGTTTATCCTATATTATAAGTCTAATATCCACTTATAAGTGAGTCTTGTGTCTTGTTTAAGCCAGTCATTCTGATTCTGAACCTATTATGCTTCCTCAAGTTTTTCTTAGCAGTTTTAGAACAAGGTTTTTGTTTTGTTTTGTTTTTTAATCAACCTGATCTTATCATAAGCAAACACTCATGGGATGAAAGAAGAAATACATTAAGAACACCCATAAAGCATTAAAAGGATAGTCATCAGATAGTTATGCCCTAATTATTATGGAATATTTTTTAAGAATGTGATATTTGAACAGAGACTTAAATCAAACGAGAAAGTAGGCCAGTTGGCCCTCTGTTTCCAACATCCAATGTCTGCAGGGACATCAACTAAAGGGCAACATATTTTTAAAAATTCAGTCTATACTAAATGAACATAGGCAGATACCCTTTTTTGTATCATCATTCACTAAAAAAAAAATGGCACAACAGCTCTTTATGTAACATCTACATTTATGAGGTATCTAATTTATGAATGATGTTTTAAAAGTATAGGGAATTGTCTATGTGAACTGTGTGAAGATAATATATGACTTTACATGAAGAACTCGGACATCTGTATCTTTAGGTAGCTCTGATGGAGCCTGTAACTGATGCACTGATGAAATTGAGGGGCAACAGTGTCAGAGACGATTCAGTGAAATACCACAAAGAAAAACTCCTATGCTTCCAAAGAGATTATTCTCCACAAACAGCCTTCTTATCAGCCCCCAAATCATAACTGAATAGCAAATTTCTAGTACCTTCTAATATCACAACCTTACAAGCTTATAAGCAAACAAGCTTGTCCAATTGAAAAACAGTAAATGAAAAGTAAATTTATTTACTCAAGAACACAACACAACCTCTTCTTAAATGAAAGAAAGAAGGAACTCCAAAACAAAAACAAAAACCTCCAACCCCCAAGGGAAGCAGGTAGGTAGGGTTACTGCAGATCTTTACCTCTCTCTTTTGCTCCAAATCCATTCCCCCACTCTCATTCTCAGCCCTGTAGCAGACCACCTGCTGCACCAACTCCCTCATCTCTAGGTGAATCAGACAAATTTCCTTCAAGCTTCCTTTCCTTCAGGCATCACTTTTTTCAGCCTCTACGTCAACAGGCAATTCCTGGCAATGACATCACTATATTTTTTTTTATATAGTGAGTGCATGAGATGTGTTTAGGTCTCTATTACTGATTACTATGCCAAGCCTGCCAATGAAAGAAGTAGACCAGTGAAGTAGCTAGGTGAGCTTCAGAGCTGCACTCTCCCTCTCCTCTGCCATATCCAATCTTCCTGTCTCATTTCCAGCTTTGTAGACTGTTGTGGCCTCTCCACACTCTGTTCCAATTCCAAGAGGAAGCCACTCTGCATTCTACAAAAGGAGAAATATAAGCACCAACCCAGCCATAAACCCTCTTATCTATAATGATGTTTTTCTTAGAAGATATACTAGGGCAATGGTGGCACAACGCCTGTAGGAGTAACCAACTAATATCTGATTTGACTTAATGTTCGCTCCAGGAGATGGAACCCATGCAACACAATGCTTTGGTGGCCAAGAACCTGCGACTGGATAGCCCAGAAACCTAACAGTAAAAGCAAATACTACTGCTGTTAAAGGAGCAATAAAACTCCTAATGACATTCTGCTTTACTCAAAAATCAGGGTCTTGCTCAGCCATCATCAGAGATGCTTTTTCTAGAAGCAGATGGCAACACATGTGGAGATCCACAGGAGGACATTATGCAGAGAGTAAGACCTTGGAAGATTCAGTCCTGAATAAGGTATTTCCATCCAAGCCCCCCCCCCCCCGCCACCACCCAGGGAGTCAGGGAATTCCAAGTAGAGGAAGCAGAGGCAAAAAGAGTTTAAGGGCCCGAAGAGATGGAGAACACCAAGAAAACAAGGCCATGTAAATCAACAGATCCATGCATATACGAACTCATGTAAACTGAGGCGTATGCACAAGGCTTACACAGTACTGCACCAGAAGAAGTTCTAGAGTTGAAAAAAGAAGTGGACACCAACTCAGAAGTAATCTCCAATTGACAACTACATGCAAATGAAAATTTAGTTTTCTTTAAGGTAGTCTTACTGAGGAAGCAAATTACTGTTTAGGACAGGCTGCATACACAGGAAGTAGTAGATGGCCAACAGAAAACAAACTCAAAGGTGTCTTTGGAAGTACTTTGTCTTACAATGTTATGTTAGGGCTTTTTTTTTTCCTTTTTCTTATTTTTATTTTATCACATGCACACACATACACACACACCTCTT